TCATTTAAAACTCTACTGAGGTAATAAATGGGTCTTTTGACACCATTCTCATCCTCTTGAGCTAACATGCTTCCTAAAGTTTTATCGGATGCAGCTATGTACAATCTCATACTTCTATTTCTACAAGGAGGTACCATAATGGGTGGTTTGGCGAGGTATTCTTTGATCTTGTCGAAAGCCTCTTGTTGTTTTTCCGCCACTGGAAGCCTCCTTTGTTGAGTCGAAGTAGTGGTGAGAAGGCTTGCGTTTTTCCACTTAAGTTGGAAATAAATCTCCTCAGAAAATTTATCTTACCAAGTAGAGATTGCAACTCCTTCTTGTTAGTTGGAGCTTTCGCTTCCAAAATGGCTTTGGTCTTATTCTGATTTACTTTAATTCCCTTCTTGTGGACCACAAAGCCTAAGAAATCCCTTGCTTTTACGCTGAAAGCACATTTTAGAGGATTCATTTTCAGACCATAGCGTCTCATCCTTTCGAAAGATTGTCGAAGATGGTTTATATGATTCTTCCCCGAAACAGACTTAACAACAATATCATAAATATAGATCTATATAAAAGTTTCAATAAAATCATGGAAGATAGAGTTCATTTCTCTTTGATATGTTGCCCCTGCATTTTTTAGGCCAAAAGGCATCACTACCCATTCGTAAGTGCCTAAAGCCCTAGGGCATCAAAAGGCTATTTTTGACACATCCTCTTCACCGATAAAAATTTGATTATACCATGAGTATCCATCAAGCATACTCATGTATTTGAAGCCAGCGGCAGAATCGACAAGCATTTCTGCCACAGGCATTGAATATTCATCTTTGGGCGTTGCCGTGTTTAAATCTCTAAAATCGATACACACCCTTAAGGTACCATTTTTCTTTATAACAGGTACTATATTTGCAACCCATTCGACATACCTGGTTGTTCGGATGAACTTGCATCTTAGCAGTCTTTCGACCTCCGTCTTGATCTTCGACAAGACCTCTGGTGCAAAACGCCTTGGAGTTTGCTTGACAGGCTTTTTCCCAGGTCTTATTGGTAGTTGAAGTTCTACCACTTCCCTGTCGAGACCAGGAATTTCATCATAATCCCATGCAAAGCAGTCTTTAAACTCCTTCAACAATTGGATTATTTCGATTGTACAGTCATTTGTTGATTTGACTGAGTGGTATTTTGTATTAGAGGGTTCAATAATGTACTTAGAGTTTGGGCCAACATGTGTACCATGTCATGGTTGCTTTCATCCATCTGTTGCCTCAAAACTATTGTGGAAGCGTTTGTGAGGCTTGACATTGCATGGGACGACCCTCCTAAAAGTTGGTTCCTACCCATACCAGTTCCAGATCCCTGTAATGGTGAAGACGCACTTACCAAAGGTTCTGAAAATGTAGACGCAACATTCATAAGGCTAGCCATTTCAGTAGTTGGCATGCCATAAAGCTGGTCTCGACCCATCAAGGTTGTCGAAAATCCTGGGGGAGCATATGATCGAGATCCTGGATTCACCCTTGGCGGGGGTGTTCCTGTTGGACCTCTGGGGTCTGCATACGAAAGTATTGGTCCTGTTTGGGTTGCTGTTAATGTTGGTATCGACCCAACAATTGACGAGACAATTTCACTAACGGTTGTTATTACCGTTGTTCCCTTAGTAATTGGTGGAGGTATTTATCCATTATTTGGTTGATTAGCCATATTGCTTTCACTATTTCTCTTTCTAGTTGTACACTCGTTGGTGGTTACTTTACCACTTCTTAATAGCATGCAAAACTTCGTAGAAGAAAGAAAATTATGCGAAGCATTTATATTAAGTTTAATAAGCAAAAACAGAAGACAAAAACAAATAAAACACAAAATAATTAGCAACTTCCCATCAGGTGTGCCAATTTGTTCATCGTGTTTTCTGGTAAACAACCGCTGATATTCCAAAAAGGATAAATTTTTGTTTACTCGTGAGATCGATCAGTTTGATCCTAGGACATATGTTAATCTTTGGTGTTGTTTGGACATAAATACTAATGTAAGTGAAGAACGCATGTTCGACTGGGAAAGGGATGAGTTTGAGTGCAGAAAGTAAATAGAAAAGGGGTTGGGAAGAGTTTAGGTGTAGGAATCTGGCTAAAAGTGCAGATAAAGTGAAAACAAGATAAAAAGGCAAGAAATGTAAAGAGAGAAATAAAAGACTTTGATTGTAAAATGTGTTTTTTCAAACGTACATTTTCAGTATTCTTTCTCACGTAGCGCGTACTTGAATAATATTGAATAATTTGTACGATCAGTTGAAAACACGAAAATCTACATAAACTTCATATATTTATACTAAAACTAGGTAACCGTCGAGGAGTTGCCTTGCTCTAGGATGAAGACAAGTGTCTTCTGCATGCGCTTCGACCCCTCTCTTCATGCCACGTTGCTTCCCTTAACTGCCAAGCAAACTGCTTTTCCCTCCTTTCTTCAGATTCAAAATCTTCTGGTGCAGATATGATGTTTCTTTCTGGTCAAAGACCCTGGAGTTCTTTCAGTCGAATGGATTGAGAACCTTCTGGTCGAAGATGCATTTTAACTTAGAAATTTCTCTAACTATTTTTACATTATGTCGAGGCCTTTCCAACTCAGACTTGTTCAATCTATTTTTGGCCCATAAGACCAACTTGTTGTAGGTGTCGAATTTAGGAGCTAACATAAAGATGTTATACGAAGCTACCAATACACTTCAACGACATCTTGCATCCATAAATCATTTACAATTATCATAGCATATGCATACGAAATGCATATAGCACACTCTCATTTACTTTGAGAAAATCATTATGCAATACATTGCATACATCATGACATTGCCTAAACACGAATTTTATCTTTTTAGGTAAAGTCTACAAACAGACGAATATCATTAACAGTTTTCAAACAAGTCAAAGATTAATTCTTGAAATAAGACGGGGAAAATATCTGTATGACCAGGTCCAAGATTAATTCCCGAAACAAGACGGGGTAATTATCTGTACAACTAGGCGGTATGAATTCCTGAAACAGGACGGGTTCGCCAACAAAAAGCATGTCAAAGATTAATTTCCGAAATAGGATAGGGAACCTATCTGTATGACCAGGAAAAGATTAACTCCCGAAACAGGACAAAAAAACTATCTTTATAACCAGGAAAAGATTAACTCCTGAAACAGGACAGGAAAATTATCAATATGACCAGGTGGTATGAATTCTCGGAACAGGACGGGTTTACCAACAGAAACAGATTGTGGATCAATTCCCAAAACAGGATGGGGCAACTATCTACATGATAATAATTTCCCTCTGAGATTGAGTTCTGACAAGCATTTCCCGCAAAGATCAAATCTGACAAGCATCTACTTAAGCACCTTCCCTAGAGGTTCATTCTGGAAAGCATTCATCATATACAGTCAAGTGTAGACTCATTCTGATAATCTTATCAACAGTTACTTTGGATAGAATCTATAAGACCATCTCCGAAGGTATTCTATCATTTCTCGAAATGGCATCTTTAATCCCATTCAAGCAATAATATCAACCAACAGCATAACCTCTTACACATGCGAGTGCAAATTTCTAGGCACTTAAGTGTTCAATCATCTTCTACCTTCAGATCACGAATGACGGACATGCCAATCTAATTCCTCAGGTTTAAGAAGATTGAACAGGGGCAAATATTGTACCTTAAAATTTTCCCTCCCTTTTTACTCAAGACATTTTTCTAGGGTTCTCAAATGCTCAAGGTTGCTTAAGAATTGCTTAGATAAATTCTCCTCCTAAGCAATGGGTCCACAACTAGGGTTTCATTTTTTCTTAAGGAAGTTTGGGTTTCAAAGGTCTCAAGGTTTTTTTTGGTCCCTCATATGTCTCCAAGAATGCTCATACCAAGTTTCAAGCCTTGCATCACAAGTTTGCTCAATCAATGGCTCAAATGACTAAAAATCAACTATATTGGACAAAAAGTCAATTATGGTCAACATACAGTCAAACTTCAACATTTTTGATCAACATCAATATTTTGAAGTGGTATTCATCATTTGATCAAGGATTTATCATGATTCATCAAGAAAAACTCTCAAATCATCAAAAGTCAAAAGTTACCAAATTAGGATTTTCTTAAGGAGAAGTCAACTGAACTTTGACCAAGCATAACTTTCACATGCTTCATCATATTTTCCTCAACTAAAGCTCATTTTGAAGGAAATTCAATTCTCTACAACTTTGTCTCTTTAAGCTCAAGTCCAGAAAATACTTCATTTGAGAGATATGGACCAATACATTATAGGTCATTTCAAAAGTCAACAAAAAGACAATTTTTGTCAATACAACTTACATTAAGATAAATTCTTCAAATGCAAACATGATTAACATAGAGATTGTAAAGGACACCTTGGGATTTCGAAAAAGTCCAAGGTCACCTTCAATGGATGAAAATTGAGAGAGTTATGACCAGTAACTAATAATATCACGTTGTATGATAATTTATTTTTCTAAATTAAAAATATTTTAAATGTATTATATAAATATTTACGAGTAAGTTTATAAAATTCGAATAGACAAAATCATCATAATCTCCGTCCGTGCATTTCAATTCCATCTTCATCCATTTTTGTAACTAAAAAATTAACATATTTATAAATAACTACATATGTTCCCGCGCCAGGTTGGTTTCGTTAGTTAAGAAGGGAAAAGCCCCGAACATTCCAGACTCACAGTTACAACAGAACGTTCTCGATATTTCAAACGACATCGTTTTACCTCATTGCATCCAAAAAAAGAAAAAAGAGAGATAAAACAGCTAAAGAAGAAAAGGATCGAGAATGAAGGAGAAGAATCCAGAAGCAGTTCATTCAACAATCAACACACACTATATAATCTCTCCTCATTCTATTTCATTATCTCATCGAAAAAGCTCAATATTCTTTCTGCAATTCGTATCCTACAATTCTCTTGAGATTGAAATCCGTTCTGTCTGAAATTTGAGTTGGTTTCTTGATAGAGTAAGAATGGCAGACGCTGAGACATTCGCATTCCAGGCCGAGATCAACCAACTTCTTAGCCTTATCATCAACACCTTTTACAGCAACAAGGAGATTTTCTTGCGTGAACTTATCAGCAATTCTTCTGACGTAAGCACTGCACGATCCTATTGAATTTTCCCCCCTTTATCTTTACTCGATTCATTCACATTTCATTTTTAAATATTTGGTGCAACAGGCTCTGGATAAAATTCGTTTTGAGAGTTTGACTGATAAAAGCAAGCTGGATGGACAGCCTGAACTTTTCATTAGGCTCGTGCCTGACAAAGCCAACAAGACACTCTCCATCATTGACAGTGGCATTGGAATGACCAAAGCAGGTAATCTCTTTGCTCATATTATGGTGGGTACTGTTCTTGTGGAATTTGGAGCCTGTTTCTGAAACTTCTTTTTTCAGATTTGGTCAACAATTTGGGTACTATTGCGAGGTCCGGAACCAAGGAGTTCATGGAGGCCTTGCAGGCCGGTGCTGATGTCAGCATGATTGGTCAATTTGGTGTTGGCTTTTACTCTGCTTACCTGGTTGCAGAGAAAGTCATTGTCACCACCAAACACAATGATGATGAGCAATACATTTGGGAATCACAAGCTGGTGGCTCCTTCACTGTTACAAGAGATACTGATGCTCAACAACTTGGAAGGGGAACTAAGATCACTCTTTTCCTCAAAGAGGATCAGGTACTTTATTCACCAACTCAACTCCTTTCATTTCTATTTTCCGGATACGATGCAACCCATCGCACTATTACTATATTTCCAATTATTTTTGTCAACAGCTGGAATACTTGGAAGAGAGGAAGATCAAAGATCTTGTGAAGAAGCACTCTGAATTCATTAGTTATCCAATTTACCTTTGGACCGAGAAGACTCTTGAGAAAGAGATCAGCAATGACGAAGATGACGAGCCCAAGAAAGAGGAAGAAGGGGCTGTGGAGGATGTTGATGAGGACAAGGAGAAAGATTCCAAGAAGAAGAAAAAGATTAAGGAGGTTTCTCATGAATGGGAACTCATCAACAAGCAGAAGCCAATCTGGCTGCGTAAACCAGAAGAGATCTCCAAGGATGAATATGCTGCTTTTTACAAGAGCCTCACGAATGATTGGGAAGAACACTTGGCTGTCAAGCATTTCTCTGTAGAGGGACAGCTTGAGTTCAAGGCCGTTCTCTTTGTCCCGAAAAGGGCACCATTTGATTTGTTTGACACCAGAAAAAAGATGAACAACATCAAGCTTTACGTTAGGAGGGTGTTCATCATGGATAACTGCGAGGAGCTCATACCTGAGTACCTTGGATTTGTGAAGGGTGTTGTTGACTCTGATGACTTGCCACTCAACATCTCTCGTGAAACTTTGCAACAGAACAAGATTTTGAAGGTGATCCGGAAAAATCTTGTGAAGAAGTGCATTGAGATGTTCAACGAAATTGCGGAGAACAAGGATGATTACAACAAATTCTATGATGCTTTCTCCAAGAATTTGAAATTGGGTATCCACGAAGATAGCCAGAACAGGGCTAAGCTTGCTGATTTACTCAGATACCACTCCACAAAGAGTGGTGATGAGATGACAAGCTTGAAGGACTATGTTACAAGAATGAAAGAAGGCCAGAAAGACATCTACTACATCACTGGAGAGAGCAAAAAGGCTGTGGAGAATTCTCCATTCTTGGAGAGACTCAAGAAAAAGGGCTATGAAGTTCTCTTTATGGTTGATGCCATCGACGAATATGCTGTTGGACAGCTAAAAGAGTATGACGGAAAGAAACTGGTTTCTGCAACAAAGGAAGGACTGAAGTTAGATGGTGAGACTGAAGAAGAGAAGAAGAAAAAAGAGGAAAAGAAGAAATCATTTGAAGATCTTTGCAGGGTCATGAAAGACATATTGGGAGACAAAGTGGAGAAGGTTGTTGTCTCTGACAGGATTGTTGATTCACCTTGCTGTTTAGTGACTGGTGAATATGGATGGACTGCAAACATGGAAAGGATCATGAAAGCTCAGGCTCTGAGGGATAGCAGCATGGGAAGCTATATGTCTAGCAAGAAAACTATGGAAATCAACCCTGATAATGGTATCATGGAGGAGTTGAGGAAGAGGGCTGAAGCTGACAAGAACGACAAATCGGTGAAGGACCTTGTGCTGCTGCTTTTTGAGACAGCTCTTTTGACATCAGGTTTTAGCCTTGATGAACCCAACACATTTGCTGGACGGATTCATAGGATGTTGAAGTTGGGTCTTAGCATTGATGACGAAGAGACTGGTGTGGATGATGTTGATATGCCTCCCTTGGAAGAGGATAGTACTGAGGAGAGCAAGATGGAGGAAGTGGACTAAAGTCCTCTAAAGGTTTTGACTGCTAGTACTGTTAATAGATTGGGATTGTGCATGTTAAAAGATTGTGGATGCTTCTTGTGTCTGTTACTTTTGTTCTGAATAGTCATGTTGGGTCTTGGTTTTGTTATAGTTGTATCTGTCTACTATGATATCATCAATGAAAAATGGTTCTTTCTCTAACAATACTTATGCATGGTATATTAAGTTAATTTTGTTTTCTTAAGCATACGGTTGCTTTTTTATTGAAATCTCAGAGATTTTATTATCTTTGTGGTAGTCATAACTTGATCAAATGTCACTCATCAACAGATTGTTAGGGTAGCAAATTAACTAAATGAACATTGACAATAATACAGGTTCCCTTAAAATATGCTTCACCTTAATTTTCAAATAGTCTTCGGGGTAGCATATATAGAAAAAAAAGTGTACATGGATTGAGAATGCATTAAGTGATGTTAAAACAATTCCAGGTTTGAGTATAATATATATTAGTAGTTGGATAGGTTATAATACTTTGTAGCTAGTGCTTAGTAATTATAGTATGGTACTAGTTCCTTTAATACTTCTTGCAAGTTTAACTATGGGGGGAGATACATGGATCATTCACTGTAAGCTTGTTTCTAAACTTTTCAATCTTGAAAGGTGGCTGGGCTTTGATGAGAATATTAACACATTATTGATGCTCAGTTGTAGAGCTTTGATAAGGATATCAGCACATTATTGATGCTCAGGAATATGCATAACTTGAAGCTGTCTGACCAACACTTTTCTCTAACAAAGAAAAAGTCTAGCACCATGTATTTGGTGCGAGCATGGAGAATAGGACTGTGAGTCAGAAAAATGGTGCTCATGTTGTCAATGTAAATAGTTGGACCAAGACCCAACATGAAGTTTTGAATTTCCAAGGGCAAGGTTGCGATATTTAGCTTCAGTGCTAGAACGAGATATGACTGTTTGTTTTTTGGCCCATCAAGAAATTAATGTGTGACACAGACTCTAGGCACAGACTCTAGAAGTGGAGCACCTATCATCAGGGTCATCAGGGTCAGACCCTCAATCAGCATCAAAATAGGTAGCGAGATAGGAGAGTACTAGTTGAAGACCCCAAGAGATGGTTCCTTCGAGGTACTTAGAATGCATTTGACAGTCTGTCAATGAGATTCATGGAGTGCTGCCATGAACTGACTGATACACTTTGTTGACAACAAAACAAATGCCAGGTATAGTGATGGTAGTATATTATATAACTTCAACTACGTATCAGTCATTTTTATAGAGTCTTAAGCCAACCACCATAAGAGAGGATAGTGGTTTGGGCGAGAAAATCTCTTATGTATCTTCCTTGGGAGAGAGACATAGAACCATCAGCTTTTTGTTCTTGACTTCTATGCCTTAGAAACAATCAAGCTGACCTATATATCCTTGAGAGAACACAAAGTGAAGCTTAGAAATTTTAATTATCTTTGTGGTAGTCATAACTTGATCAAATGTCATTATTTATATTAATGGAGGTCAAAACTAATCTTTTAGTTTTATAAATAAGTTTCAATAAACTTTTTAATATTTTTAAAAACTTTTTGAAAAAATCATTTTTTTAAAAATACAAAGTAAAAATGTATTTTTATAAAGCAAAACAAATATACTCATATTCTGTCCACATTTTGTGAAATTTATTTTGTAATTTAACAACCAATGACAATTTTAGTATGTCTTCAATCACAATCAAGTTAGAAATAGATTATAAAAGTGGGATTATGTTAAATGTCAATGCAAATTAGTTTTACTAATAGTCTGTCTTTTAACCTTAATTTATTCTCCTTATTCTTATCTATATAGGAGTATTTTTGGAAGAAAAAAAATTGACTTGTGTCTAATTCCAGCTGTGTATGAAGCTTGGTTAATAAGCTTGATAATTTTGTTATGTGCTGCATGGACTTTCTAAAAACAAGGAAAAACTATACATTTCTACTTTTTTATTGTCTTTTATAATAAAGTTGTTTGATATATACACAGACAGCAAAATGAACGAAGAGAATTAAGGTTTTTCTTAGCTGCAGTAGCAATTACAAACTAGTACAACATCTTGTGACTGGAACCTCTCAGCTTGTTTGTTGACCTTCCAATGGATTTTACCTAATGCAAAATTATGGAATCCAATTGCTGAAAAACGAACCATTCTTATGAATCCAACCCCATCCAACTAAGTAGTAGCACTCTTCAATGGCTCGTCGCGTATCGGTCTATCTGGATTGAGATAGTTATTTGTCTCAAGATCAACTTCATAGGATGAAAGGAGCTTTTTCTGCATGATATATGCAGCATAAAAACACATAAAATAATGATAATGTTATACCATAATAAACTCTTGGAGTGCTTCTATAATGGCCTAGTACATGCGTGTAGTACTCGGCAATCCGACTTTTTTAAACAATCTAAAAATCAGTTGCATGAATACTTACATGATCCTCAAAATCTGGGCTAGTTAAATTGATAGACAGGTTTCTCATCAACAGAAGCACCTATACAGAGCCAAGACCATATACTTATAAGTACTTGATGCACAAAATTCATTTACACAATTATCACACAGGTTGATGATAAATCAGGAGTAATAAAGCTCCAATGTTATTTCCAAACATAGCAGATAATTGTGGGAAACATTTTAAAATTCATTTGTTAAAAACTAAGTACAATAGAAATCAATCAAGATGAACAGAATGACAATACCGTCTCAACATCTATACGGTCCATCTGTTTAAGTTTCTGTAAATGCTCAGTTGCTTCTGGGTCAAATACACTGCCAATGAAGTTGTATACTTGGGAAAAATCTGGAAGAACTGCATTAGAATTAAAATAAAAAACCATTAAAATGCTAATTAATATACTCAGACTTGAACATCTGAACCATGGACTAATATGGGTGGAATAATAGGGATTTAAAAACACCCCCTCAAACTAAAAACTACACAATAATATCATGGAAAAATGTCAACGGAATAACAAAGATCTCAGCATTAAGAGTTCAATGATAAGCCTTGATGCCATTTCAAAATTTGGAGAGATTGACTAACTCAACTTATGTAACTGGCTTGTAAATGCCTTGGATCTAGAGTATAAACCCTTTTTAGGGCATTCTTTTAGCTAATGTACATGTGGCTGCTCAAGAGGTGATCTAGGATAGATTTTAATATCATCATCATCTAAGGTTTTTGCTCTAACTCGACCTTACAAAATCGACTAATTAGGTGAAAGTGGTCCAATCTTATAAGATTGCCTAAACCATATCTCTAGTCTATGTGGAACTCTCAACATACCCTCCCACACTCAAGAATGAACATCTGACATGATTAATGTGGGTAGAGTAACAAGGATCTTAATACTTCTCAAACAAGTTGGTTAAATTAGGTTGGAATAGACCCTACATACCATAGTTGTTGGATATGGAATTGGTGCAAGGCATACATGCTTAAATATATATCACATGCCTCTTTTAAAAGGAAGGAAAAACTATCTATAGCAACACCACATAACCTTGTCATGCATACATGAGATGAAACCACAAACTCGAATGTCAATTTGAAATTATAAAGGGAAATCATTAAAGACTTGCCTCTCAATGGAAGGATTTTATTCACTAGACTATTGGATTCACCAACCATCGGCCGCACTTTAGGAGTACTTTCACTGCTACTGCAAGAATTATTTACTTTTGGCACTGCAATAGGCACAATATTGCAAACACAAGAAAGTAGTCAGTATTTTTTTGGGAGTTACAAGCTTGTACTATCTTGAATAAACTATATCAATTACTTTCATGGCCAAAAATTTCAGAAGCAAAATCTAAGCTCCAAAAAACTGTAGCATTAAATACCATTTAGTAAATTGGTGTTTTGCGGCGTGTGGTTTGACCAGGAAGACACCGCATTATTCATAATAGGAGTTTCAGGCATTGGTTCATGCTTCAGTGTATATCCAGGTTCAAGCAAAGCCGGTGAAGACTGAAAAGATCCCGGTAATTGTGAAAGCACAGGAGCTGTCAAATGTAAAATGCAAATCATTAGAAAGAACTGCACTTATAATGTCTCAAAAAAAAAGTATGGAAAAAGATTATGACCACTTTTGGAAGCTTTTTGAGGATATGGATGGGCAGCTTTTCTTTTAGGCCTAGGTGGAGGAAGATGTTCATTTGCTCCACTCTTCTGAACCTTTAGAAAGTATTTCTGTGCATGGCTACGTATCTACAAAGTATGTAGAGAGCATTCTTTTAGTCCTTCTTAACTTGAGGTATGTATACAACTTTGAAACATGAGAAATAAAATAATACAAGCCTCAGACACAAACATTCATATAGTATAATCAAGAGTAATCTTCCCACTTTTGTTCTAAAACATAATTTCTTGTATCGGCATGGAACATACATCATACCTTAAATGAATTTTAAACTGAAGCACCTAAGTCAAACCACCAAACACCCTTATCACTCAAAAAAAAATAAAACAGAACAAAAGATTATCTTTTTAATGGACCAGTGGACAGCAAAATCATTCCTACTAGCACAGTGGAGCATGATATGTCAAGAAGGATGATAAGGGAAATCACTGAGGATATGGTTTAATAACACATTGTGTAGGGGGAGAAAAGATATATAAGCAATTGACCGCATTACAAGATCATGGATTGCTCCCACCATTTATTTTCCACATGGAACATGATATATCACCTATTTATCAGAAAATGTGAAACCCCTTTTTCTTCCCATGGCTTTGTTCAGTTCCCTCCCATAATAATGACACTAAATTTTCTTTTAAAAGAATACAAAATGAGCTAATACACACACACACACACGATGGGTTTAGACTTAACACAGGAAATATTAAAGATAAAGATGCACTTCTGGCAAAGAACTTTTCTTCCCATTTGAAATTACCTGTATAACAGTCTTTGATCCAACAAATGCTTCAATCTTTTTCCAGTCACGGTCAAACCTAGATACAAAAATAAAGGAGCAAAATATGTGAGGATAATACAAAATGGCGACACCAAGAACAAGAAAGGAGACAAACAACGACAATTAGCTTTCATTTGAAATACAACATTTAATTTATCAAAATGAATTATTTTTTACCTTTCAATGAAGTTCTCTACCAAAAGAATGTAATGATTTACAGCACTCTCGAGTTATCACCATTATTAAGTAAATCAATTATAATTTGATGAGTATATATGGTTAGAGAAAAATTCATATATGTTCAAGGATCTCAAAAGGGTTGAGTTTCTGGTTCACTTTGGCGCCCTCCGACGTTTCAATTAAGTTCTATTACTTAGAGGTGAAGATACACAGTTTGCATTTTATAACCACTTTGACTTACTTGTTTCCTCTTTTTACTTTTCAGGAAGGATTCTTAATACCCGTAGATTTAGTTTTTATTTCTTCTTTCTATCATACTTTTACCTAAGAATAAGGAAAAAATATCCCTATTATGCACAAAATTATAGTTTGGCGTGTCCCCGCACCGTACACGTATCGGACACCGACACGCGAACAACACACGTACGACACGTTTTTAAAGTGCCTAACGAAAAAAATAAATTGAAACACAGCGGACACAGATTCGACACTATTACAAATAACGGACACGCCAACCTCTGACGTTTTCTGCTTTTCATATTCCACTTTCCCATTATAAAAACAACTCGTATTCCTTGTTTTTTCATCTTCTTTGTTTGTTTTCATCTTCGCCGCACGCCGGTATTCCATCGTCGCCACTGCGGGTATTCCACTATTTCTCTGCCGATACTCATTCGTTTTTATTCTTTATTATTTGTCTCTGTTTCTGTTTCTTGTTATTAATTACATATGTCGGCGACAGTGCTTCCCTCGTGTTATTATTTGTAAATTGTCTTTGTTTTTTTTTTACGTTTCATGTTAATTACAGAAATGTTATATGTTAATTAGATATGTTATATGTTATTTGTCTTTGTTTCACTCATATTATATATGTTAATTACCTATAACATATAACTTATCTTTGGATGCAATGTATGCAGAATCGTGAGTTGGGATGTAAAATCGTACTTTTTGGGTTTTAATGGCATGCCGGCGTGCTGTGATTCCGATGGGATCGTATGCAGCAAACTCGGCGAAACATGGTTTCATAGATCCAGAGAAACCTGGTTTCATGTCATTTAGTTTTGTAGCATGGAAGAATAATATGTTTACTACTATTTACTATGTTGCTATAGTTCCGTCGAAGTTACATATTGTCAACATAGGCATTCAAGGTGTAATTATTTATTTCGAACCCGGATAATCCCCATAACATTCTGAATCTGAATGCTTCTAAAGATTAACTAGTTGATTAATCCTTTTCTTTTCAGACATTTTCCAAATATATTTTTATCCGGAGGCCATAATCAATAGAACTAGATGAATTTACACCTGGCTTCCCTCATTCATTTATTTTCTCAAGGAAAACAGTATTTTGTTCTAACAAAAAACATAAATATTAGAATGAAAATAGTAAATAATTTAAGCAGCTAACTCCAATTTGTTTGGGTGCCAACAAGACAGGGGAACGTACAACTGGTCCGCCAGGAAACGGGAACGTACAACTAGTTAAACCCACAACCATAATTTCAATATAAATATCCCACGAATTCCATTTGAAATGGAGCATAATTTACAGGTTACAAAAACTTATTGCTCATTTGGTTCATGTCCATGTCTCTAAAAGCACATCTGTTGTGTAATTTTTTTGATTTTTTTTACGAGTATTGTGAAACCTATATGCAGCTACTTCTCCAAAGTCACATCCGCGTCTAAAGTCCAAACTTACCACCAAACACACATTTAGTTTTAATTGCAATTCTAGTTCTAGTATAAAACTGTCAAAACCCACGATTCTCTCTGTGTATTTTAGGATGTTTTATATTTGCTATAACAATTGTATCTTGCTATTATTAGGTCTAGGTATTTATGATCAATCCCATAATTACAGGGATTTGTTCCTTTAAGAATTAGTTGTCCATATTTCCTAAAATAGGCTGCAGGCTCATGTATATATACAGGTCTAATGATCTAATAATATAATAAGAAATATATTATTCCTTTTAAATCTGAGATGGTATTAGAGCTCCTGATCCTTGGGAGTCTCTGACCGTGTCTGTAAACCCTAATTTGCAGCCTTCATTGCTGCACCCTCTTTAAGCCCTGTTGCAGCCTCTCTACCTTGATCACATCTGGTCATGGCTGAGATCGTGAATCCCACTCTGGAAACTGGGGACAAACCCCAGACCAATGGAGAATTGCAGAATGTCCATTCTGCTTATCGGCTAAATGCGAAGAATTATCTCAAGTGGTCTCAACTCATTAAGACCATCTTGAAAGGAAAAGGAAAGGTCAGTCACTTGACTGATAATATACCTGATGAAACAGATCCCAAGTTCAAATCCTGGGATGAAGAAGACTCCATGATTATGGCGTGGCTGTGGAATTCAATGGTCCCAGAAATCAGTGATACCTGTATGTTCCTTAAGTCAGCAAAGGAAATTTGGGAGGCAGTAGAAAAGACTTATTCTAAGGCCAAGGATGCTGCTCAAATTTATGATGTAAAGGTGAAAACCGTGGCAGCCAAACAGGGAAACAAATCTGTTACTGAATATGCCAATCAACTCAAGTCTCTATGGATGGAATTGGACCACTATAGAGTTATAAAAGCAAAGTGTTCAGAAGACTCAGCAATCCTTAAGAAGTATATTGAACAAGATAGAGTATATGATTTTTTGGTAGGCTTGAACCCTGAATATGACCAGGTCCGAATCCAAATCCTGGGAAAAGAGAAAGTCCCAGGGCTTAATGAAGTGGTAGCCATTATCCGGAGTGAAGAAAGCAGGAGAGGACTGATGCTAGAAACCTCAACCACTAAAAGCTCCGCAATGCTAGCTGAAGGAGGAACAATCATGAGGAAAAATGGGGTTCCCAATATGGAGAAAAACCATGAGGAGGTCTGGTGTACCCACTGTAACAAGCCGCGTCACACAAGGGAGAAGTGCTGGAAATTAGATGGAAGAACCCCAAGCCGAGAATGGGGGCAGAAAGGAGGCCCTCCAAAAAGGGGAGGACAAGGGCAAGCACACATTAGGCAAGGGCAAGCACACATTGCTAATGATCAAAGAAAAGAATCTGGTCAGCTGAATCAAGAAGAAATAGAACGAGTAAGATCATTCCTTAGCAAACTCGAGAAGCCCACAGGTACATGCTCCTTAATATATTCTGGTAAGTTTCCACTTTCTTTTGGGCTTAATGTTTCAGATACACCCTTTACACATTACTGGATACTAGACTCTGGAGCCACTGACCATATGACCCCTATACCCAAATATTTCTCCACATATTCTCCATGTCCTAGCAACAAGAAAATTTCCACAGCAGATGGAACTCTTATAACTGCAGCAGGACAAGGAGAGGTCCAAATAAGCCCATCCATAATACTAAAAAATGTCCTTCATGTCCCCAAACTGTCCACCAATCTGATTTCTATACAAAAACTCACAAAAGATCTCTCATGTAATGCTGTTTTTTATAACAACTCTTGTATATTGCAGGACAAGAAATCGGGGAGGATGATTGGACATGCTAGAGAATGGAATGACCTATACTACATGGAGGATCCTAATCTGCCTACCAACAGTCGATCTCTCGTATCTGAATCCACCATGACTAATAAAGAGAAGGTCCAACTATATCATTGCCGGCTAGGACACCCTTCATTTAGAGTTGTAAAAATGCTCTTCCCTTCCTTGTTTAAAAATTTAAATGTGGAGAGTCTCAACTGTGAGGTGTGTGAGCTTGCAAAACACAAGCGTGTACCTTTTCCCATTAGCAATAAAATAAGTCCTTCCCCTTTTGTACTTGTTCACACTGATGTATGGGGTCCGGCGTATGTTCCTAATATCTCAGGTGCTAAATGGTTTGTGACCTTCATAGATGGTTGTACTCGGGTGACTTGGGTTTTTTTATTAAAACAAAAATCTGAAGTTAGTTCCGTGTTTTTTCAGTTTGTCTCAATGAATAAAAATCAATTTGGAGTTGGTATCAAAAGAATTAGGTCAGATAATGCTAAGGACTACTTTAACCTTATACTAAACTCTTTCTGTCAAAAGGAAGGGATAATCCATGAGTCCTCATGTGTGAACACACCCCAACAAAATGGGATTGCAGAAAGGAAAAATGGGCACCTATTAGATCAAACTCGGGCTCTACTTTTCCAAAACCATGTTCCTAAGAGATTTTGGGGGGAAGCCCTTCTTACTGCCACCTACCTAATCAATAGGTTACCCACAAAAATATTAGACTCAAAAAGTCCCATGGAAGTCCTATCCTCATTCCACCCACACTTGGATCCTACAAATAAACTCCAACCTAGAATATTTGGGTGTGTATCCTTTGTACATATTCATAGCAATGAAAAGGGAAAATTAGACCCTAGGGCTGTCAAATGTGTATTCTTAGGGTACTCTTCCACACAAAAGGGATACAAATGTTATCAACCCCTATCAAAAAAATTCTATGTGTCAAGAGATGTCACCTTCAACGAACAAGAGAGCTACTTCAAGCAGCCTCATCTTCAGGGGGAGAATGTACGAGAGGAAGATGAGACTCTCGTGCTTCCAAATATGACATTTGGACCTGAAAGTGGGACAAATGGCATTGCTGTCCCTGAAAGACGGACAGAACCAGCACCTGAATGCATTGCTGTCCCTGAAAGACGGACAGAACTAGCACCTGAATGCATTGTTGTCCCTGAAAGACGGACAAAACCTAAATCAACAGCACCGGAATCAACAGCAGGACCTGAACAATCAATAGCAGGACCTGAACCTGCACCGTATGGTGGAAAATTTGGGAAAAATCTGGTATATACAAGGAGAGAAAAGGCCATTCTAGAATCTGGCAATGTCCAAGAATCCAACCCATCATCTCTGCATGAGGTAATATCTTCAAATCCTATAAACTCCAATGATTCTAATGAGTTTGTTTATGAAAATCTAGAAGCACAGGTAGACCAAAATCTAGACCTACCCATTGCCCTCAGAAAGGAAACTAGAACATGCACCCAACAACCACTTTACCCACTATCAAATTTCTTATCCTTTGAAAAATTCTCACCTACCCATAGAACCTTTCTCACAAACCTCAACTCCACACACACCTTCATCTGTATCTGAAGCATTATCTGATAGGAATTGGAAACAAGCCATGGATGTGGAAATGGAGGCATTAAACAAGAATAGGACTTGGGAACTTGTCACCCTACCAACTGGAAAAAAAAAACAGTAGGATGCAAGTGGGTATATGCAATAAAGTACAGGGCTGATGGGACCATTGAACGCTACAAGGCAAGATTAGTGGCGAAAGGTTTCACTCAAACCTATGGAGTAGATTACTTGGAGACATTTGCCCCGGTTGCTAAGATGAACACGGTCAGGGTAATATTGTCATTAGCAGCAAATCATGATTGGAACCTGCAACAATTCGATGTGAAGAATGCTTTTTTACATGGAGACCTTGAAGAAGAAATATACATGGAGTTGCCCCCTGGTTACAGTGGACAGGTTGCTGCTGGAACTGTTTGCAAGTTAAGAAAGGCTTTATATGGGCTGAAACAATCCCCAAGAGCATGGTTTGGAAGATTCACCAAAGTTATGATAAATTTGGGCTACAAACAGAGCCAAGGGGATCACACATTATTTATCAAACATTCAGTTTCAGGGGGAGTAACGATTTTATTAGTGTATGTGGATGATATTATAGTAAGTGGGGATGATAAAAAGGAGCAGCAAGTGCTAAGTGAATGTCTTGCCAAGGAATTCGAGATCAAGACATTAGGGAGACTTAAATATTTTTTGGGAATTGAAGTGGCCCATTCCAAGAAGGGAATCTTCATATCTCAACAAAAATATATTACTGACTTGCTTAAAGAAACAGGTAAGACAGCCCGCAAACCAGCAAGTATTCCAGTTGACCCGAATATAAAGTTGGGAAGTGCGGAGGAGGATATTGCTGTGGACAAGGAAATGTATCAAAGACTTGTAGGCAAGCTTATTTACCTATCTCACACAAGACCAAACATTGCTTTTGCTGTAAGTTTAGTTAGCCAGTTTATGCACCAACCAAAGGAAGCACATTTGCAAGCTGCTCTTAGAATTGTGCAGTATTTGAAAGGGACCCCTGGAAGAGGGATTTTGTTCAAACGAAACAAGAGTGTAAGTCTTGAAGCATATACGGATGCAGACTATGCGGGGTCAGTGGTAGATAGAAGATCAACTATTGGATACTGCACCTTCCTTGGTGGAAACCTAGTGACTTGGAAGAGCAAAAAACAGAGTGTGGTAGCTAGATCGAGTGCGGAAGCAGAATTTCGAGCAATGGCCCATGGAATATGTGAACTTCTATGGCTGAAGATTATATTGGAAGACTTATAGATAAAGTGGGATGAACCTATGAGGTTATATTGTGACAACAAATCTGCAATTAGTATAGCCCACAACCCGATGCAGCATGATAGAACTAAACACATCGAGGTTGACATTATCAAGGAAAAACTAGACAGTGGTATGATTTGCACACCATATGTATCCACTCATAACCAACTTGCAGACATACTCACCAAGGGGCTGAACTGCATTAACTTTGAAAGGATTATATCCAAGCTGGGAATGGAAAACACCTATTCACCAGCTTGAGGGGGAGTGTCAAAACCCACGATTCTCTCTGTGTATTTTAGGATGTTTTATATTTGCTATAACAATTGTATCTTGCTATTATTAGGTCTAGGTATTTATGATCAATCCCATCATTACAGGGATTTGTTCCTTTAAGAATTAGTTGTCCATATTTCCTAAAATAGGCTGCAGGCTCATGTATATATACAGGTCTAATGATCTAATAATATAATAAGAAATATATTATTCCTTTTAAATTTGAGAAAAACTAATGAGCATTGCCCAACTCAACTCTTACACCTGTAGTTGTTTGACTCATCTCTATCTGAACTACTCTCCTTACAATTGAATCTGCAGGTCTTCTCTCTACATCTCCAGTCCGCCTAAAGCCTATTTTCCACCATCTTTTTTATTTTAGTTTTCCCATTTTTTAAGGAAAAACTATGAAATGAAAACATAAAATCAAGCATGTCCTTAGCCAACTATTGTTTCACTCTATCAGCTCAGAACTAAAAAAAATAAAACTTCACCCTACCCGTTGTCATTTCAACTCAAACATCTTCAAATTCATAAAAAAAAAAATCCCAATTACAAAACCCTAAATTTCACACTTTGCATACAATTAAGCACATAAAACTCACAAAACCGTTACTAAACACTCATAACCACATACTCGTATACCACTAACTAACCGTTACTCAATAACTAATTTTCATATGCAAAAAGTAATAAAAGTGTAAAAACGAGAAAAGTGAACATTACAGTTGAAGAGCTTCAAGGAACTTGTCATGTTCAGGTTCGGTCCAATTTTCCCTAGACTTGGTTATAGTATACGGTTTACGGATCTTCTTGGAAGCATCGTCAGACGAGTTCACCGTGGAGGAGACGGAGGCGAAGGGGCCGAAACCGGGTAGAGGCATTCCACCCGGATCCAAGCAAAAACCTTCGGGTGGGTTCGGGTTATTGGATACCATTGGAAGATTTTAGAGAGAGAGAAAGTGGAAGAGAATTACGGGTTTTGGGCGCGACACGCAGGATGAGAGACAAAGAGAGAGAAATGTGTGTGTTTTTGCTTGGGTTTGGTGTGTTTGATGTAATGCGATTTCTTGTTTGTCTGAGATTAGACCAATGGTTGAATGCCACGATGACATTACCAGAGATGGTTCGGTGTGTGTCACAATGGTGTGTGTTGTTCTTCATTTGAGTTTAGAGGTAAAAAAAGTCATTCATTAAATATTAAATCATTAAAATAAATTAGAATAAATAGTGCGACCTAATTTATAACAACGGTCATATATATAATCATATGTTATCTAACAATAGATGTGTTATTATAGATGTGTTATTGTTATTATATTTGATCTGCAATTGTTATTATATATATTTTTTGTAATAGTCTGAAATGTATTTTTAAATCAATCTTTTGTGTATGCGGAGATGTATCTTCATATCCAAACATAATAAAGATTTCTCAACATTTTTCCTGATAGATGTAAAAATATGTATATGAAGATGCATCAAACGCTAAGAGCATTTGAAACTTTTCACAGTGGTGGGGAGAAGACGTAAGAATCGAAAGCACAACTCCCGTATAAGAATAATTTCATATAAGAATAATTATATAGGTCTAATTATTGGTATTAAATTGGAGGATTTAACACGCCACCCTAGTCATATATGACACCTTTTTAGAGATAATTTTACTATAAAATTTATGTGAAATATCAAAAAATTTGAAATATACGATTCCGTATCAAAAAAATTTATAAAATTTCAGAAATTTCGGTTAAATTACCATTTTTTTTACCGTGGCGTATGTACTCAACTGAAAATTTGAAATTTTCAGTAATGGAGATTTTAAATTTCTGGGAACTGTCTTCCTTGTATGTACCAAATTTTTTGAAATTTCTAATAGGTGCAAAAAAATTGAAAATTTGAAATTTTCGATAATACTGAGAATTGTTTTTCCTTTTTTAATCTTTTACTTAGATAATTTATAAAGTAAAATAACTAACCGACTTAATATATAAATAGAATAAATATTATACATTTATACATAAAAATAAAATTACAATTATTTTCTACACAAATCTTCTCAATAATTAAAACGATCCACATAAGTTGATTCTCATACTTTTACAACAACATCAAAAATCTGTCAATTACAACAACATTATAATTAGTAAACTTCATTGATTTATTTAAGGTTGAAAAACAAATAAAAATATATAAATTCAATAGGTTACGTACGGTATATGCGGTGAAGAATTGTTTAACATCAGTACATGAATCCGTAGAAAATGTTGAAGCTGCCATCTCTGGACAACAAAGACATAACTATAGACATACCGTAAATTTTAAATATAGTTGAAATTTTCGATGTACCGGCAATTCAAATTTCTGGTTTTATGCTTTTTATCAGAAATTTACGCAATTTCCAATTTATGTAATGGTTTTTAAAAATCATCCTGAAAATTTTGAAATTTCCGAATTTCACATAAAAATTTTGAAATTTTTGATTATTGACAATTGAAATTTAAATAATATAAATAATTTCTGATATACGCTAAAATTCTGCACAGAAATTTTGCTATGCATATAATAAATTTCATTTTTATCCACTTTAGTTAATAGTAAAAAAAAATGATAAGAATAAAATTTTTAAAAATAAATAATAAAAGGAACATTTTAAAAATAATTAAATATGAGAAAATGTCATATATAATTTGAGGAATGGCATCTTAAATCCTCTTAAATTAGATCATCCAATTTGATTCGGAAGCTCACATTATTGAGTAATGTAGCATTAATTTATGTAAAAAAAAAACCAACAAAAAATAATAAAAATTAAATTAAATAATAAAATAAGTATACTCAAGAGAGAACATCAAAGCTACACTTTGAGAAGGATATTATAGCGGAGATTCTTAAATTCCCTAACTTCGTTGTGCTATGTAGAGTATAATCTTTTGCGAAAGAAATTGTCAAAGATTCCAAACATTGATTTTTTACATGTATTTTTACAGATGATCACTCTCACTTGGTTAAAAATAATTTAATTATAAACTAGTGTTTCTTCTTTGTCTTTAAATATATTGTCTCCAGTTTATTAAAAACAAAGTTGTAATATCTCTAATACATGTATATATTTGAACATTTTTCCTTTCAAATATAAAAAGTTATAAATTTTGATACCTTGGAATGACCTTTCATCTTGTAGTCTTTTGTAATTGGATTGAATACATCCTTAGCTCTGCAACTCTATCTATCTCAATCAATGGTGGTGGTATGCATGGTTACTTCTCCTGCACTAGAGGGGTGAGATAGCGTGATCCAATTTCACTTTTTTTTTTTTAGTTGAATATGTATTGAGCAGACACATCACCAAATTGGTGGAGGATGGGAACATACATCAAATTAACTTATATGCATATTACATCTTAGTTTTTTTGCAATGGGAAAAGAGCCAACTTGCAGGCTTTGAAAAACCTCTTAACCATATATGCTTTGGTCTCATGTCAATTTGTTAGTCTAGCCAAGTTAACTTGGTTATATCAATCATCATATCTATTATTCGTTTTAGAGTGGGCTCAAAAACGAGTTTAAGGTCATCAAGGATAATGATAGATACCTCATTGGTAATGGTAATAAGTTCCAATTTTTTTGGACCCTTTGTGTGGTCATATGAGTCTTGTTGAGATTTTGATCATCCACCCTAGCTGGCACAATGTTCTAACCGAGAAGGCTAGTCTTTATATCTATAACTTTCAATGGTCTGTCCCTTAGAGTATCATCAATTTCTTTCCTGTCATTGAAAATTGTGTTGCTCAGGTTACCCTTCATTTGGAGGATAAGGATGATAGACTTATCTAGTCTAGAGCCGACTATGCACTAATACGGAAAACTCATTTAACAACGGTTGAGAAAGATATATAATCATGCGGGACCAGATGTTGTTATGTAGAGTGTCGTTGAATATATGGTACTTACAATCACGGTCCTGAGACCATTATTGTATTCTAGAAAGTGCATGTCATATCACAACGGTTCTTTAACCCAACTGTTGTGATAGAACTAAAGGTCCCAGGTCCGATTCTCAACATCAACATTTTATAATTTATATTATTTTTTGTCACCGTTTAATATACAATTTGGTTAGGTTTTTATAACCGTTGTCAAAATTTTCTCAGTTTTAAATATACAATTCTCTGCTTCTCAAATTCTTCCTATTTTTTAACATGTAACTATTATAATCATATCATAGAATTTACAACAATCCATATTTTTGTTAACCGTGCATAAAGAGCATAAAAACAGCTAACATTGTGCATCAAAAGCCAAAATTAATATTTACATCAAAGACAATATGTTTAAGTCAAAAGTAATATTCATATCACCATATATAGAAAATAAGTCATTAGCATATCTTAATAAATCAAATAGCAGGACCTTTAAGCATATTGTGGATATACGTCCAACGTTTACGAAGATCAACAAAGTCCTCAATAGTGAATGGGGTTACGTCGTTAAACATTTACATAAGAAAGAGCAAAAAAGTTTTTTAAATATATGTCAACATATGTATTAATATATGTAAACATATTATGACATATATACATTATTCCATGAATCAACAATACCGACAAGAACAATATTTAACATGTGTTTCATAACATAATACCCACACTCGTATTGCTCGTGTTGTTTCTTCGTCTACAAATGAATGTAACCACACATGAATATAACCACGCATGAATATACCCATACATGAATATAAATGAAAGAAATAGGTAATCGGGCCACTTACTTTAGGAGAGATCCATGAGAGCTTTCTTCTAACATTGTTCACCATATTCACTTTCTCCACAACACTGTACATTGAATATGAATTAAACATATTACATGCTAAACTACTTACAATATCAAAGAAAATGAATTAAACATACACTTACGAGTTAATAATCTCTTGTATTTTCTTGTCGAGTGGACCATGCAAGGAACAAAATACAATTATAATATTCATCTTAAATGATATTATGATCAATTGATAATGACCATTGAATAAACACGAGCATATATATTATTAGTATTTGCTAAAACAAAACTAAATATAGAATACGTAAACATCAATTACAAAAATACGTACCAACGGAGAAATAGTGCCAAGTAACATTCTTTTCCTCCCTCCTTTAATCATTTTTTCAAATAATCTTGAATGTCTTTTGGTTGACTATACACTCAGCGAATAAAAAGCGGATCCAAGATTCCATAAATACTCGATTTATTCAACTCTATACAAACACGTGAATGTACCTAAATGGTTAAATAAAATGAATAAATTAATTGAGAAAATACAAAAAATTATAATGTTATATAATGACATGTATATTCAACTATATACTTATATGCACCAAACTTGCAATATTCCTACGTCCAAACACTTATATCCACAGAGAAAATCCCTTACATCTTCAGGATTGTAATAGAATAAATCCATATATGGACAATATTCTAGCGGGAGAGGTTGCACGTCATTCATCACTACAACTTTAATACGGTGGCAGAACCGACTGTTTATACTGGTTTTGCATTTTGTATTCACAAATATTGCGGTAAGCAAGAGTCGTCACCGACTTTTCTTTTATCCAACAAAGGAAAGGGTGAAAAGAATAGAAAAAGACATTTTCGAGAATTTTCTGAGTAAGGGGGGTAGATTATGGAAAGGAAAGGTGTTAACACCCTTTCCATCCGTAATTATCTACGGGCTCTTAGATGCTTAGCTCATTTTTTAAATACCTTGTGCTTTGTGCTTTTTTAAAAAAGTAGTTTGAAAATGCCTTAGTGCGGTAATTCACTTTATGATAACTCTTGTGTCAGTCCTCAAGAGTGTTGACAAAGCGAATGTTTTTTTTAAAGTATTTTTGAAATGTTTTTGTGTAGGTGTGAAAATTTTGTTTTAAGCAAGCATCTAGGA